CTATAAAATTAATAATATAACAAGTGATGAGTGCGTGATTGTGAAGGGGGTGCGGTGGTTGGTTGCTATTATTCACGTTTTAATAAGCTCAATCACACACATGTGTCACCTCTATTACCATTGTTTGTGCGGATTACAAAATAGCAGTCATTTACAAAAGAGTGAATGAATAAATTGCGAGAGAGCTTCTTTTCATAATAGAGCAGCGGGGTTAGCGTATTTATGGAGAAGCCAAGAATAAGCAAGCAAGCACCACACTCACACCACCACCACCACCACCAAGATCACAGTGGGAAGATGGGGTGGTGGGACTGCTCCACATTGGCTGTACAAACAAGTCCATAAATAAAAAGACTATTCCATTCAATGACGTAACAACTTTTTCATAGACTTTTTTCCATAGAGCTTTTATTTGGATCCTCTGGTTAGATAGAATTCCACACCACACCACACCGCCCAAGCTAGAGCTAAAGTAAATAGGAGGGTGGTCAGGAAGGCGAGGCAGCAACAATAATGCCTTTGGCTGCTGTTTTATTGCCACAACCGTTACTACCACACCTAAAAAGCCAGTCTATCCGGCTAGCCAGCCCCATTAGTGGCAATATTTAGTAGTAGTAGTTGTTGTAGTTGTAGTATTGGGGAGTAGATGTGCCCATGCGGGAAACAGCAGCATTATGGCCAAACAGAGAAATATTATAAATGTTCTAGAGAAGGACAGGCCGGGAGTGCGTGGTTTCATATTTTTCCGCAGTCCTCCACCAAGCAAGGGGAGCTAGATTAAAGATCAATGTGGGCCATCAGTCATTCGGATAGTCTTCTCTCCTATGATAGTCAGTCAGGCTTAATATGTAAGGCCAGAAACCTGGTGATAATAATGATGGACATGAGGTCAAAAGTTATACCCTTTCTTTCACAAGGTTTAAATGGCCAAGCATGTTATATTCGGACCCGTGAGCTTGTAAGTGCTCCCAGCAATGGCTGTTGCTGTGGCTATGTAAATCTATAGGATTGTGTCTCTTTAATCCTTGTGGGCGGGGGGTGAGAGAGAAGGGTGGGGGTATACTCTTGCTAAGAGAGAGAGAGAGTAATGACAGTCAGTGTGTGAGGGTGACTACTGTGGAGTGTGGTCGTGAACTGTGTTTGTGTGGAGAGAGAGAGTCTCGCCCTTCTTTTAGAAAAGCCTTGGCTTTTATGGCTGGCGAATCATCATGAAGTTAAAAGTTGGATTACTTTTATGTATTATTTTCTTGGCCTAGTCAGCGACTTAAAAAGTTGGCATACATTCTTTTGTAAACGCCTTTCCTTTATAATTGTCAGCTACTACTTCCAACAGGCCTTCTCGCTTCTTTATTTCATCTAGTACCAAAGCTATATAATTGTTAATTGTTGTTCTTATCTTTTGTTAGTGTGTGTGTTTATATACATCCGAATAGATATTTAGAATAGACCGTTCAATTTTTCTGTCTCTCTGTCTTGGTTTGTTTCTAGCGTTGAACTCTTTTGTGTCCCCTATTTTGTTCTCTCTCTTTCTCTCTCCAGCACTGATATTGTGTTAACTCTTTCTCAAAAAAGTATTTGTGGCTCACTGACCTTTCTCTCTCTCTCTCTCTCTACCTACATAGTTGTTATCTCTAACAAGCAATAACTAACCACCAACTTTCTTATTTCTCTTCTCTTCTTTCTCTCCTTCTTTCTTTCTTGGTTTGATTCTATTTTTAAGGCCCTCACATTTATATTTGCTTTAGTCTGTAACTATTCCACGTCTTCTTCCAAGCACAAACATACATACATACATCCACAGATAACTACAATATGCCTTCGCAAACTGCCGACCTTGCCGTTTCGCCTTCCAATTCAGTTATAGAAAAGCAAAATGGCCATGCTGCCTCCTCGGCTTCTAATGGAAACGAAAACGCACACCCTGCAGACCTCCTCCAGCCTTCTCCTTCAACTTTATCTGCAGCCGAAAATGTCAGCGTTGAGCCTAACCAAAGCAAGGTTTCGGCCATGTTTGGTATTTTGAAAAAAGTCATGGGTGTTAAGGATATCATCAACCTGTAAGCGCATAACATACCAATTTTCATTACTAGCAACCTATTAACTTGAGTTTATTATTATTATTCTCTTGTGGTAAGATGGCAATTAGATCCATGATATATAATCATTCTTTTTTGTCTATGTAGCCGCTTGTCGTTGCCTGCCCAATTGCTGGATCCTATTCCTAACCTAGAACATTGGAATTTTATGGATCGTCCTGATTTCTTTGTAAGGTATGTTGTATTTCTTTTTCTATATATTACTACTAACTCCTCTGTCGTTGATACTCCATTCCATTATACCCACACACACACACACACACTTCTTTCCCTATACACATTGTTTTTTTTGTTGTTGGGCCATTGGGTGGCTGTAAATGCGGGAGCCAGAAAGACAGGATGTTATGCATGGTGAATGTATAGACCAATGCAAGCAATGCATTAAAACATTTCCCGGTGTATTTACAAACCATTCATCCACATACACTCATATTATTATACTTGGGTTTTACTAATTCAAATATAATGTGAATGCACACGCCTGCGTGCTTTATTTTTTGTAGAATGAGTGATCCCGAAGATCCATTAGACCGAATGCTCAATGTTTTCAAATGGTGGATTGCTAAAGATATCAAGCATGTTGTAAGTTTTATTTTCCTTGTAATTACATTTGTTGCTAAAATATCCCTTTATTTCATCTCTCTCTTCTTCTCCTCTTCATTATCATCATCATTATCATAATGACATGTATCCATACACCTGGTTGTATAAACATGACATACATACATTCTAACAGCTCAATTTTGATACCCAATTTATATTATTTTTAGGAATACCGAGTCTGCAAGCCATTCAATTCAATCCTAGGTGAACAATTCTTTTGTCATTGGGACGTAAATTCCAAAGAAGATCAATCAATTTCCACTGAAACCCAACCAAATGGCAACACTGCCACTGCCACCACCACCAGTGCCAATGCTGATGGAGAAGATAATTTACGAGTAGAATATATTACTGAACAAATTTCCCACCACCCACCAATTTCGGCCTACTGCTACCGTTGCAAAGAAAAGAACATCGAGGCAGTGGGACTAGACCACATGAGTGCCAAGTTTTCGGGAATTTCCGCCACAGTCTCTCCAGGTTCTTATTGCCATGGTACATTTGTGACTCTCAAGAACCGTGACAATGAAATGTACCAATGTCTTCATGCTCCTGCTACTGTTGCTGGGTGGTTAACCGGATCTCTTCGTTTGCATTTCACTGACTGTAGCCATATAATTTGTGCTGACCAGAATATGGCCCTGATTCTTGAATACAAAGAAGGTGGGTGGTTTTCAAAAGCAAAGGATTTGGTTGAAGGCAAGATCATAAAGTATGAACAAGGAACTTTGCCAAAAACTGTTGAGGGTTGGAAATTGAAAGATATTCCAAAGTCGGCTAAAGTTTTGGCTACAATTTCTGGGTCTTGGCGTGGTCAAGTGTTTGTTACGAAAGTTAGTAGTAGCGGTAATAGTAGTTCGGCATCGAGTAAAAAGAATAGTAATAATCCCAAGGATTTGTTTATTGAGTTACCAAAGATGAAGGCTTTAGAGAAACTGGTTAAACCTTTGGGTGAACAACATGAATTGGAATCTCGTAAGGTTTGGAATCCAGTTATTGAAAAGATGCTGAATAATCAATTTGGTGAGGCTACAAAGGCCAAAAGAGCCATTGAGGATGCTCAGAGACAAAAGGCTGCTGATCGGGAAAAGATGGGCGAAAAGTTTGTGCCCCAGATCTTTGAACCTTTGCCTGATAATGGCATTCCTGTGTTACTTCCTAATGCTCCTATCAATGTCTAAACCTCTACAAACACACACACACACACAGTCATATCGATTTTTCTTTGGTAATCCTCCTACTCGTTCATTCGTTGTTTGTCTGTCTGTTTGTCCGTTTATTATAATTGCGAAGAAATTAAAGAAAAAGAATGTATCCGTGGTTACTATTTATACATCTCATCATTGGTTTTCTCCATATATATCGCTAACAAGTACCTAATAGATTATAATATTGGTATAGGTTTTTACAATTTGTTTTCATCTATCTATCTATTCACTTATCACTTATTGGTTATTTTTATTTTTATCTTTTCAATTTATGATTATAAATACTAGTGTATTCTCAAATATTGATAGTTTAAAGTTTATCCAAATCTTGGAGAAATTACTAAAATGAAATTGTGATTGACCTTAAAAGTAATAATAAGCTAAATTAACCTGCTTTTTGGTAATGTTCAAAGCTTAAAATGTTAACAAATATGGATAATCATACTAACAATTCTTTATATAAGATGAAAGATACTTTTCATCTGCTTCTATAATGAACCGTATGCAACTGTACATGAAATATGCTTCACAAAATAACTAGACTTGTTGTATTTATTTTTGTTTGTAAATGCAGATATCTGGTAGAGTAGTCATCTCCTCTATTAATGGGTACCAGGATGTTTCCTTGGATACTAGCCAATCATCAGTGAAACTCCAGTAAAGATGTATAGCTTATAACTTGATTTCTCTTCTATATAGTATAGAATTTGTTTGGATAGAAAAATCTATAAATCTATTTTCTGCCATAATAAAATGAATTACTGAGTAATCTTTAATGTATTTAAATAAAATATTTTATAGTGTCGTTTTTTATTTAAAGATAGAACATACCAAGTATTATTAGTAAAATGTTTTATTGTAGAAAAAGAATACTTATGATGATAATTATAATCATAATAGGGGGCTGTTTAGTTTTACATTGTATTCTTATTATGAGGCCCACTATTTATGACTATTCCAAATGAGACTTGTAATAAACCCTATAATAAATGGCATGTAGAATGATATTTTTATTTATAATTTCAAAAGTTATCATGACACTTATGGGCTAATTTTCAGGGAATAACTAAGGGCCCATATTCTTCCATTTTAAGTCAGTGTGGCCGAGTGGTCTAAGGCGTGCGATTCGAAATCACATGGGGTTTCCCCTCGCAGGTTCAAATCCTGTCGCTGACTTTTTGCTCTAATAACATCCCCACGACATTATAAAAAGGAATTTGTGTGTTTCTTTTTGGTGGAGTATTTGACATTTGAGAGATTATTTTTAAAGGGTAAATGTTTACTAGTAAAACTGGACATTCATTTGGCTCTGATCGCACCTATAATCATTGGCCACCAAAAGACACTCTTCAAAAGTGATCACCCATGTGGTTGAATTTCATTCGAGTTTAAATGCATAGTAGTAGCCAGCAATTGGCTATTAGGTTTTGGACCAACCACAAACCACTTTTATGCAATTCCTATGGATCCACCATTTCTACCAAAGTCTTTGTGAAATCTGACCATTTAGATTTTTTATAATAAATATTTTAAATTTGTATTATATATTATTTATTGCTGGGCTTAAAGATCGGCTATAAAGATAAACCAGGAATATATGCAAACATTAATCCCAAAACGATGCCGATTGATGATCGAGTACTCCTACAAAGTTTCATAAGCGATTCATCTATTTTCAAGTCCAAGTAGATCTTTTTCATATTGGAAAGCTTTTGGCAATAATAATTAACAGCATCTGTGAAAGTATCTAGATTTGGAGTATGACTACAGGTATTTCGAAAATCAGTTGTCCAAGACGACATCTTGTTGGCCTGAGAATTTTGATTATGTTATTTTGAGACTATAAAACTTCGGCCAGAAATAAGGTTACAGTTTTTACTTGATCTCCGTTCACCGTCAAGCTGTCAAATTGTGGACTCATTTCAAAAAAATCGTTAATACAGGATAAAACCACAAAACTCTGGGGAAAAGCCGGCTCTCATAGAATGCATAGTAAATCAATTATAATAGAACTATATAAAATGTAGGAACTAACAAACATTCGAGTCCATTTTACTCTTATTGACAAGAGAAGCACCAAAATTACTATGAATTAGTTTTTCAATTTTAGTAGTCTCTTTAAACTACTTAATTGTTATGCAATGTTTAGGGAGTCACTACAGACTTGGCTAGTATATAATTGGAAACATATGTTAATGTCGCTTGATATAATGCAAGTAATTTTTATTATTATATTTTTATAATCCCTCGGTTTAGCATTGATGGCATACAATATTATTTTAGGAACTATTGTTTGACTTGATTTCAAAAAGCTAATACAAAAATCTTATTACCAAGTGGTTACAGGCCATGCATTTGTATCTGAGAAGCAAACATTCGGGTATCGTTGGACTAGATCATTAATATTGTCGATAAAGCTTCGTAAATTAACTTCCTTGACATTAGGAAATATTGATAGTAATTCTATCCATCTCTTCAGACTAGGCTGAATATTTAACTCCAACTCCAAGTACGTCACATTCACCAAACGAACATCTCTAAACACCTGACTTGATTTACTAGTTACATCCAAGCACAAGTAAATCTTTTTCAGGTTAGGAAGGTTTTGGAGGGCATAAAATAATCTTGGAGTGCACGGAATCTCGTCGATTTTTAAAACCTTTATTCCACACATATTTATCTTTATCAGATTAGAAGGTTTTAGTTTAGTACTTTTTAGTTGGCTCGCTTCGAATGTTTCCATATTAGCCAAGAATAAGCCATTTTCTTTATAAGCTAGACTCCTATGAGTTTTTAGGGTAAGCTGTTTGATTGTAGAGTTTTCCAGGGACATCAGAAATCTGAAGTAAAAGTAGGAATAAATATCAGGATATCGCATTTCGGTCAAAATTAAAGTACGAAGTTTGGGGCAGCATTTGGAAACTATATAGGCATCTTTTTTGCTCTTCATGACGATGTTTAGATATTCCAGGTGTTGGAATATATGACCATTGGCCCTATCATTATAAGGGCGGTCAGTTATTTCATTATTTGAAAGTGGTGTGTCATCAAACCATACGAAATATACCAAGCATTCGAGATTTGGAAATAGCAAGCCTATTTGAGACAGCGTGATTGTTAATTTACGTGATGTTCCATGTCTTGTATTTAGCTTTAGATTGGAAATATTGTTGTACTGCGGCAGGCTTTGCACTAGAGTATTATTGACAGCAAAGTCGTCGGACAAATGATGAGTTAACTGGAGTGTGTGCAACTTAGAAAACAAATCGAGTGTCTTGAAAAACGAGCTTCCGAAATAGGAATTGTCTAGCCTCAGTATTTTAAGGCTGTTTCCTTGTAACTGGGATATTTTAACCAAAAATTTAAACACAGATTTATCCTTGTAGTCGGACATTTTTATGTCGTATATTTGGGGATTACATTTAACAAGCCCAGCCACGCTATACAGATACTCGTGTGGAAAATTAGCAATTTCTAGCTTCACCAAGCTTGGATAGTGGCAAGAAAGGTTGATCAAGGACCCTTCTTCAATATAAAAGGGGAATTGAAAACACATACATTGCATAGTGTAAAAGTATCTGTAATCAATGTCCATGTAGTAAGTCCTGCATTTTGCTCCACCAAAACTCTTCCAATCGTCATACGTTAATTTCGGCTCATAAACAATTTTTCTGGTTGCCAAATCCCAATCTTTAGAAAGAATGGCCAAACTACGGATATCAACATTTTCCTTTCTCCATTGTTTATATTCTTCTGGACTCATAGCACCCCGGTAACTATAGTAGTGATTGGCGCTTACATAGTCCCATATCAAGACCTTTAGATTAAAGGGTAAGTCTTTCTTGCTAACCAAATTGGCCATGGCAAGGTATGGAGTTATTTTGTTGGTGAGATTATCTATTAGAATAATAGGAATGAGGAAAGCAATGCCGATAGAATAAGGGATGTCCCAGTGGCTGAATGGTATATATATATATATATATTTGTGTATGATCTGTTGAATATTGCAGTTGCTGTTGGGTGATATCAAACAGTATAAATGCCAACCAGAATTAGCTTCAAAACTAAGCTCATTGCTATTATTTGGCTATATCATAGGTCAGTTTGGTGACATCCCGAGTCTAATGGACAAACACTGAGAATGCAAGAAAGAGAGAGAAACATAAAAGCCAAATGACTGTAATTGTAGGGATGCTTAAAGATATCACATCACTCACGTGTGCACAGTAATATAAGGGAGATTCTCCATCAAGGCTGAGCCAAATGGCACACATATGTTTCCAGCAAATTTGGCTTAAAAGTCAAACATTTTAGGCTGGTGTCAAAGAGATTATTCTAATATATTTTTGGAGGAGACACTCCAGTATGAAAGGTTATTGTATAATACATGCATGATGAAACTGGCCTACTAGTAAAACTATGCCCTTCAAAAATAATGATCCACATGTGAAAATGGAAATTCTTTTTTATCTTGGCAGTGGATTAATGAGAATCGGAGCAAGAGATTTCAATAGAGATGGTGTCACACGCACAATCACTCTTTGTTGATTTAAAACGATCTCTACACCACACCAATCACCATGTCCTTAACCTATGACTTATTTATCTGTATATTTTACACTGCAAGCTCTGTGCTTCAACATACTCTACTTATCAGAAGCATCAAGCATTGACAATGTCTATGAGGTCTAAGTGTCAAAACTAAAGGAAAGGAGCAACATGGCACACATACATACATACACACATTTACATTTACAAGCTTTGGGGAAGTGTCAAGAGAGATTAGATGAGATGTATGTGTGTGTGATATCTGTGCTAAGAGTACTCTTTCACTGGCATCACCATTGGATATTCTCCCTGTATTTGTGAGGGATGGTTGATCTCACAGTCACTAGCAGCCACAAACCTCGCTCCCCTCCTTCTCTTTCCGCTTCCATAACAACAATTAATTGCCCAGTTGAGCCCGATGAGAGGGTTTCTTGTTGAATCAGAAAACGGCCGTGAAGCATATAAATAGCCCCCGGCATGCCCCAGATGAATCCGGAACATATCACTTTTCAGCATTCCTTTTCCATTTAAAGCCAACTACTTGATTTCTGCGACTCTTGTTTACACACAATTGCACATCTCTCATTCATCTGCATACTAACCAAAATACTCTAGCTATGAGCGACAACAGCAAACTCTCGAACTTTGTCAGACCATTGTATGTTACTAACCGTATATATATTATATTATCCCATTGATTCATATCAAATGGACTCAGGAATTATACATATTTGTAAACATTATAGGCCTCCAGTCATCGCTTGGTCCCACGAAGATATCACAAAGTACTACAAATTCATCGAGGTCAATTCCCACAACGAGTGGATATACTTTGATAGCAGAGTTGGCAAATTCTTTGGCGTATATTTCAACGAATATGACTGCGTCTATAGTGTAGGCTGGGTTTGATTTCTCCCATCAGACATTCATTTACAACCAATTAGATAGTTTAAACAAAATAAAAGTGTATGGTAGATTCTCCTCTTATAGTGTACCAGAATAAGCCCACTTCAGTAGCAGCCTAAATGTATGACAAATGAGCCAAATTTGCTCAAGATATGTGGGTACAAGATTGTTCCCATCTGATGGTGAACCTGTCATTTCTTGATACAAGTTTAATATCATCCAACGCACAAACAAAATACAAATAATTATAGTTATAAAAGAATGTAAGTAGTCAGCGAAAAAATTGTAGATTAAAAACAAAATAATACACGAATACAACAACTAGAAAAATTGTGGTTGTGGTTATCGCAGACCACGACTTTGATTATTTCCTTGTCCATTTCCATTTCTTGTGCCTCCAGAAGGTGAGGTTGGGCTACGTTTATTCAAAATTCTTGTCATTTCTTCATAACCAAAATCATAAGCTCCGTCACTAGCATTTTGATAGCTACGAGGTTGAGGACTATTGTTATATGAATTGGTAATATTTTGTGAACTAGGGTTATTTTGTCGACTACTTCTGTCTATATTTATATTATTAATGTGGATATGATTAAAGATAAAGATTATTTGACAATTTTGTTAGTTAATTCGGTAAGAAAGAAAGAAAGAAAGAGAGAGAGATAGATAGAGGGAAAGAAACTTACTTTGGCTATTACCATTTGGATTTAGATTTTCTTTAT